CCGCTATCCTACGGCGGCAGGCGTCAGGCTACAGTGACCACCGATCACTACCAGCACCACGTTACCATGATCGTCCTCTACGTTATCACTGCGCTATGTAAGTAGAGACCTGTGTGTTGCAGCCTGGCTAGTAACCTCAGATAGAGGAGAAGGGATTGCAAGAACGTAATAACTTTATTCACTTGTTTTGTTCCATTTATTTCCATTTATTTGATTATGATATTTATTTTATTGATTGCTTGTTTTAATGAATAAAAGCTGTAGGGCAAACAGCATATGATTTATGGGTTGGGGAGGGGCATCACCCTTGAGCACCCCATCCCGGTCCCCATAACAAGTGACACCGACCAAGTGTGAAGAAAGGTTGTATTTCCCTCAAGGACCATTCCCCCTAACCTGCCATCTCTCGTAGGCACTAAGCGTTAGCAGTTGGTGCGGGACTTTCAACTGGAATCCAGACGCAACAAGGAACATCCTCTGGCTTCTGCTCCCCTGAAACTTCGTGTAAGTACTCGATTATACTTACGACTCTCACTTTTTAGGCGTGTTCGCATTTCTGCGGAGCGTCTGTTAAAATTGCCCAGTCTATCTGTCAATCAATCTGTAAGAATGAAACAACTCAAGCACAGCTGCACGAATTTCCATGAAATGTGACATTTGGCAGTTCCGCTAAAACTTATCTTCACGCTAAACTATGATAAAAATCGGACAAATAATGAAGAATTTAAATTAAGAACAACAATACAGGTACGCATATTTGTACAAGAAAATGACTCGAAGGCAGGGGTACAGATGACACTTGAATTGTCATGTATGTTACATGTGCCTCACTGCCCACATAACGTTCAGTAAAATTGCTTGCCTGCGCCGAGCTCCCAGAGAATCCGCCGCCGCCATGGTGGCCACCCCCGCCACAGAAGCCGCATCCTCCTCCGTACTGACCACCGATGTGATGACCTTTGTGTCCTTTGTGACCCAGAAGTCCCAGGGTTGGTGACCGCCTGTCTCGTACAGCAGCTGCAGGAGACAATATTATCATAACTGAATGGAAAGCTAACCAGCTGCTTGTGATATGCCCGTGTGTGTGATGCAGGAGTATTAAAGGTGTTGTATCTGTTGAGAAGAGTCCTTCGAAGCCGTACAGCGCGCTACGGAATCGCTAATCTCAGTGGTTTATATACAGGATGTAACTGAAAGGTGAGGACAAATTTTGGACACGAGTTTCATATACATAAACAAGGAAAAAAGTCCATATCAACATGTGTCCGGAAACATTTAATTTTTGAGTTATAGCTGAATAAGTATATTTAAGTGTTCAGAGTGTCTTCCAAGAGATTCAATGTACGCCTCGACACATCTCAGCCGTATCCGTTCAAAGATGCCGGGGCCGTTGCAGATAGTCTGACAGGCATCCACAACGCGAAGGTGACGTGACTCTTGAGTGTCAACTGAGGCTGCATATACAAGGTTATGTATGTGTCCACACAGGTAAAAATCCAGAACATTCAAATCTGGCGAGTGTGTAGGCCATGCAGTGAGTCTTCCTCTACCTGTCTATTGGTCATCTTACACAGCACGGCTAAAATGTGCTGCAGCACCAACATGCATGTGCTAAGTTCATGCTCTGACTGACAGCAGTTGCTCTGTAACTGGTTACATTAGGAACGCGCTGAAAGTCAACACACGATACGCAGCAGTGGGCAGTAACTACCTTGTTAGATAGATTATTAGCCATCAAATCGAATAAAAAAAGACTCAATAGGTCACGACAATATACTTTCAGCTTTGGTAAAAAGTAAATTTGCCCCCCTGCTTAACTAATTAAGCACTATGCCATGAAGACGTATGGGGGATTGGATGTATAGACCCACATTTTCTTGACCTCGGTACTAGCTGGAGGTGAGTAGTCAGCTTCACGCCCCGATCTTTTTAACTCCGAGGAAATAGCCCCCGGTGCCCACTGGATAGGAGGTTGCGTGGACCCCAGAGCCGGTCTGGATGACGTGGATAATAGAAAATTCATGGCCCCTACCGGGACTGGAACTCCGACCCCTCGGTCGTCCAGATGTAGCCCGTCGGAATACCGACTACGCTATCCAGCTCCCCAGCTTTGACCCATAAATTAAATATTTCCGGACACATGTTGATATGGGCACCTGGATGTACACCTGCATGTTACAGTACGGCTTCTTTTTTCACTTTCTCTTTAAACTCTCCGGTTAACATCTCATTCCTCACCATTAAATATACATGAGAACATGCAGTTGCGTAAATCATGAAACAGTCGCAATATTAAACAAGTAGACAGGTTCAGGCCCACTCCGTTTGGAGCAGGCCTGTTTTCCTAACTTACTTACTTACTCATGGAGCTGAGCCCTTCTTGAGGAGCCGCCAATTCTGCAGCTACTCAAGAACTTCACAGCATTTTATGGAACCCGAAGGTTCATCACCGTGTTCACAAGAGCCCTCCACTCGTCCCTATCCTGAGCCAGATCTATCCAGTCCATACCATCCCATCCTATCTCTCTAAGATCTATTCTAATATTGTCCACCCACCTACGCCTTGGTTTTCCCTGTGGTCTCTTTCCTTCTGGCTTTCCCACCAATATCCTATACGCATTCCTCTCTCCCCCATTCGTGCCACATGACCTGCCCGCCTCATCCTCCTTGACTTGATCATTCTAATTATACTTGGAGAAGAGTACAAGTTATGAAGCTCCTCATGATGCAGTTTTCTCCAACCTCCTGTGACTTCATCTCTCTTTGGTCCAAATATTATCCTCAACACCCTGTTCTCAAACACCCTCAGTCTATGTTCCTCCCTTAATGTCAGAGACCAAGTTTCACACCCATACAGAACCATAGGCAAAATTATAGTTTTGTATATTCTAATTTTTATGTTTTTGGACAACATACGAGAAGACAAAAGGTTCTGAACTGAATGGTAGCAAGCATTACCCGAGTTCAATCGCCTCTTAATCTGTTTTCCTAACATGTTAATTAAAATTCTGTGCAAGTCACTGTCCTGATATTTAATAATTTCATTATTGAAGATACAAACAAATTGCTGAGAAGCTCTTCACCTCACAAATACTTTGCTATATACAGTGGCCGTGCGGTCTAAAGCACGAACCGTCTTCGCCCGCTTGAACACTGGGATTGTGGGTTCGAATCCCATTTGAGACGTGGATGCTTGTGTGTTTTATTCTCTGTTTGTGTTGTTCCGTGTGTAGGTAGCGGGTTTGCAACGGGCTGATCCCCCGTCCAAGGAGTCCTACGGACTGTGCATAAATTAAGAAACTGAAAAATCGTCCAAGCACCACAAGGGCTGTATAGCCACAGATAGATAAAAAAATCTTAAATAATTTTCTTTTGTACTTACTTAAGTGTAGGCACTACACAAATTTGTTTCCGTCCTCAGGTGAGAGGATGGAAGACATGTACCCTGTTGGACCATTTAAAAAGAATGGACCAGTGACGTGTTAATTCGTAATAAAGCAATATTACTGTATTAATATTCGTTTATTATATATATTTGCTATATGTTTCGATCCAGCTGAATCATCATGAAATTTTCATGAAATTTACTTCTCGTTATTAAATTGTATTTCTAATGTGGATCCATGTTAGTTATCGTTAATTTATATTTAATTACAATTGCTGTGTTGCGTTATATTTTTAATATTAGTCTTAAAACATAAAACGTTATAACACAGTCAAATGTTAAGAAAATTTCCTGTTGAAGATCCAGCTGGATCGAAACATGTATTAAATACACACAATATACGAACATTAATATAGTAATGTTGGTTTATTAAGTACGAATTTGTTGCGTTGTCTGTTGTCAACCCAGCAGAGTAGGTGTCTCCCGCCCTATCACCCGAGGACGGAGACAGATCGAGTTTCCGAAACGTCATGTTTATTAGTGTTCTTTAGATTACCGGATGATGGTTCAGTAAAAAAACAGTAATGCCGAGTATAGTACACCATCGCCAGAAGCCTTTAGAATCTACCATCGAAAAGTCAAGTAAAAGTTACAGATCTTGTGATGAGCCATTTTTTAAATTATAGAATTAGATTTAAGACATATCTAAACTACCTGTACAAACAAAATTAAATCAGCCTGAAAACTTGCTGTGCACCACAAATATATTATTTTATCGAAATTTATTGAACAGTTTTGGAAGTGGAGCATGCAAACGGACTTAGAGACCTTCACACTGTCCCTAAGTTTTTGGACTTTGACAAAGTAACTCACAGGAATACGGAACTGAAATATTTATTTTATACAGTACACATAATTTTCACCTGTGTCTCCTATAGGATTTGCTGAGGTCATCACCAAAAGTGATATAAAACAAAACACGGACACAAAATTATAAATCATGTTGAAGTGTAACACAGATTTCCTTCGGAAATAAAAAGAAAACCGCAGCTAAATCTTTGTTGTGTCAGCACAAAAACTTTATAAAAACTAACAAAGATTTGTGCTCATTCAAGCTCTTTATACTTTAAAGCAAGGTTGACTTCTCATTTGCATAGGGAAGATAACTTGCATGCTACTTTTGTGAGTAGGTTCTCGCTTATTTCCGGCATTTCAGACACACATCTATAAAAGTTCATCTCGTCAGATTTGATCCTTATATTCCTCTAAGTTATTCGTATAATTATATAGTTAACACTGTTGTGCTTAAGGGTCAATTTCGTAGCTATAAGCAAATGAATTACAAGGCTTCCTGACCGTGGAAAGATTTTTAAGATTCTCAAGTCATTAGATCAAGGGCGTGCAGTATGCTGGCCTTCTAGAGCTTTTCGTGTGACGTAAGTAGAAAGTGAAACCCAGAGGTCCTGTACTTTTACAGGCCTATGTCGAATGTGGGGTTCATTCGCATGTAGGTTACTGTCAGTAAGGAGAATTCGCGCACTAATACGCACTCCAATTTCTGGGAATTTCAACTAAAAAGACAAATTCACAATCAGTTGTACAAAATGTATAGTACAAACAAAAACAAACTCCGTGACCTGTAGTCCACAAGAGAAATATACCGACCGAGCGACCGCCGCTTGTCGGCGAAGTTAGTGCCAACTTTTCCAGATAGAGGGGTCTATATGTCTACAAATTTTGTTTTAAAAATAAACGCGGTATCTTGAATGTTTTGCGAAGTGCAAGGAAAAATCACGCCTGGCTTTGCAGAATGATTAGATTTCCAAGTAGGTCTCCAACTGTTGTTAAGTAAACATCAGGGTCAATGACATGTGTAAAACGACGGAGGCTAGACTTATGTTCGGAAATTGCAGGTGGACAGTTCAGTTATTTTATTGTCTTACATTTTTCTGTAATTCTGTTGGCAATGGTTGTGTTAGTCTTCACCAAACTAGCTTCCATACAGCATCCAGTCTGAGTATGAAAGAAAAACAAACAGGAGTGGTTTTAAAGTAAGAAAAAGTTGTAAATTAGTTTCAGCAAGCTGAAGAGAAAGGATAAGTTCAAACCGGTTACTCAATTATGCGATCGATAAAAGTCAGGTCTACCTGCTACATTCGCTTCCGTTTAAATGTCTATTGTTTGTGTCCAGGAGGAAAGTTGATTTATAATAAACGACTACACTGTAATAAATTCCTAATTCAGCACTGGCTAGTTACTTAAGTAATGAAGAGATTTCCTTCTGCTACTGAAAACGAGGAGGCAGTGGCTTAAGCGTCACTAAATATTGCCATCACATCATACCCTGGAACCAGTTCAAATCACCGTAGTTCACCCTGCAACGTTGCGATCCCCCCCCCCCAACACCACTCCTTCCCTCCCTCCACTATGTCATTTACCTTCATTTCTCGCGAGGCCCATTCTCCTGTCACGAAAATGGAGGCAAATGTTCCTTCGATACTTTGTTAAACATCCAACAACATACATGTTGTCATATCCCAGATTTTCATGATCTTCGAAGATAAATATGTGTGTCCTATTAGGGCATGTGGGGGACATGGAGATAGCTGCAGATGGCAGGATTATGTTGAGATATGTCTCAGGAAAAATAAGTTATGAAAATGTGAATTGGACTGAACTCGCTCTGAATAACCCTAATGGTAGCAAGGAAAATCCTTCAAGTTTAAAGATAGGAAATGTCTTAAGCAGCTGAATGAGTACAAATCAGCTACTTTGGAAATAGTTTCTGCCAGCGAAAGTCAACAGCATAACTTTGTTTCTATTTTACCTCTGTTTTTTAACTGAAGATACATTCTCCATTTTGAACGTTCAAAAAATTCATTTATTGAACTGTTTGGCCGATGGGTTTTCATGACAGCCTCCCTGATGTCTGCAGGAAGTTTCTCGTATATTTTCCCCTGTTGAAGAGAATTTTTTTTTTCAAATTCATTATATGCAATCATCAAGAACATACAAGAAAAGCAGAAGATATAAAGCCTGAATTCACCGGTCAATTTCATTTGTTAATTGAAAACGTGTAATCATAAAATCCTTGTGTGATATTACTGTCTTAAGGTAAGTTCAAAAGGTGAGTGGGGCAGAATATGTATTTATTTTATAAACGCGGCTTTTTCGAAGGTTGCTGTAGCAAGAACTGTACGTTTGTGACGATCGTATATCAGTACAGTTATTGGGCCGCGCCATAGCTCAAGCAGTTAGTCGCTGGTTTCCAACCGCGGCGGTCCGGGTTCGATCCCGGGTCTGGTCAAGTGGGATTTGTGGTGGACAAAGTAGTGCTGGGGCAGGTTTTCTCCGAGTACTTCGGTTTCCCCTGACAATCTTCATTCCACCAACTGCTTCACAGTCATCCTCGCCTCTCATCTGGGGCTGGTACAGTAGGCCAGAAGTGGCCGCAGTACAAGGGACTTAGTCCCACCCCACTAGCAATAAAAAAAATAGTTATTGACTTTAGGGACATTATCCACCGTCATGTTTTTATTTTATAAAAACCGTTTCGGAGACTGGGCTCTGTCCCCGTCCTCAGGTAGAAGCCTACTGAGTTGATCCCAATCAAAGAGCTAGTCCCTATCTCCGGACCGTTCGCGTATAGGGTCTAGCTCTACCAGTTGGGCTCAAATAAGTAGGCTTTTGCCTAAGGACGGGCACAGAGTCCAGTCTCTGAAACGTTGTTTGTAAACAGAAAACATGGAGGTGGATAGTAGTTCGAATTACATACATAATTCATAATTCATAGCACTAGTTGAACTGAGAGGTCTTGAATTTGTGCAAGTTAGGCTGGGGCTACACGAGCGCACAAAATGCGTCTGTTGCAACGAACGTACTTTATTACGGACGTTGCTGAGGACACCACACAGTTGCAGAATGCGATGCGTAGTTTTTGTCTGCACTGAAGCCAGAAGAAAGCGTAGCATTCGCCTCTCTTGTTTATTTCTACAACGGACGTCACGACGTTCGTTACAACGGACGCATTCTGTGCGCTCGTGTGGCCCCAGCCTTAGTGTCTGGAACAAGAGAGATGGAAAGAGAATTTCTAGGGGGATAATACGGAGTGAATCTCATGTTATATGACTAAAAGAATGTTATCCATAGAACAGTGGAGATTCAGGACAATTGTTCTAATTTAAACGAACATAATTGTGTATAATACATACCTTTGTTCCTCTGGCAGACTGCAGCACTCCATGCGTTTTAAAGAACTCCATATTTATCTCGTTAAGGAGAAGTATTGGTAGACGCACCGTCGGACAGTCCTGGGTTAGATCGACGCAAATTGAATTGCGTCGTTCTTTATCAGCAACGCCATCATCATCATCATCATCATCATCGTCATCAGAGCTTTAAAAATCGGAATAGAAAAATAACTTATAAACACCACAGATTTTCTTCGGGATTACTGAATTTTTGGACCTTGCCCATTGTCTGGTATCCTAAAGAACACAACGTTTCCGAAATTGGATCTGTTTCCATCCTCAGGTGAAAGTGTGGGAGACATCAATTATGTTGGTCCCGTTGTTAAGAGCTGATCACTGTATCCACGAGATGGACAAAGTCCAAAACTGAGTAATCCCGAGTGTCATAGACTATCGTCGAAAAACTTAAGAATTTCTATAAATTTTATGCAGTAATTCATGTGGGTTTCATCTGTAACCGGTCATTACCTACCGACGTGGATTTCAGAAATTTATATTTCTTACTTAGTACCAATTTTATACTAAATGTAACTTATGCCCATCTTGTATTAACTGCTCTAAGAATTCGCAATGAGGAATGTACAGATAACAGCTACGAGAAGGTTCTTTAATAGTCGGTGTGGTATCAGACTGCCAGTCTGATAAAAGAAGCTACCAGAACATTCACAATTAAAGAATAAGAGAGAAAGGTTCGGGAATCATCTGGAAACAGAAGGTTCTAGATGTTACGTCATCTCACAGTATTTAAAGGAGTTGATCCCCAGATGACAAGTACTCAGTACTAAGCACTCCATAGCTCAGGTAATGGACTTTGTGAGACATCAGGCTGGGAGATTGACGTACATCTTCTACCGTACTGTAACGCAATGTTGTGAATGTTGAACTGTGTGCAAAGGTGCGATCGAATTCTCAAGTGACCGCTGCTTGTAACTGTGCAATGCTGTTAATAAAGAGTGTATTAATAATATCGAGTCGTGATCCAGAGACTTCTTCACCAAGAAATCCTCTTTCGTCGGAGCAAGGCCCGTTAAGCCCTGAGGAGAGAATCTCTTTGCTCGACCCAGAACATTATCCCCCCTCTACCCCAAGCACCTCGACGTGGTTCCCAGACCACGCAACGGCACCGTATCAACTACGAAGGTGAAGAGAACCGCTAACGCGGTGATTACGCAAAGCCCCCAGTAAAAGAACTCTCGCACATCTTATGCTACATTGCTTCGGTTCTGTAATACCATAAATACACGAAGCCTCATACATGGGTACGTGAGATATGTTTCATACAACTGTGAAACAAAACCGATGCAAGCCAATATGTTGCCCCAGACGACGAGAAATTCCGCCGCCCTTCTTCAGATAAAAGCAAATCAACTTTATCAACATTTCGTCAGAATTTATAACACGAAGTTTCCAGTCACTGACAAAAGCAGCCTTAAAACAATTTTAATTTACATTGCTGCACGACCGAATTAGGCGACTGCCAGTTAGTAGTCACGATGTGAACAAAAGAGAGGCAGAAATTAATTTCACTTAAAAAAACAATCGTGCCACTCTAGGTGGCCATCTGGTTCGCCTGTGCTCTCTCGCATGAAGACTGGCAGGGGAAAACGAAGTACTCTGAGAAAACCCGCCCCAGCGCCACTTTGTCCAACAGAAATCCCACTTGACCGGACCCGGGATCGAACCCGGGCCGCGGCGGTGGGAAGCCGGCGACTAACCGCTTGAGATATGGCGCGGCCAATAGGCTTAATCAAAGCACATAGTCTGAGATAAAAACTGAGTAGCTGTTAGAAAGGTGTGTATAAAGTCCAGCTCTGAGACAAGGCGTGTGAAGCTGAGGAACATTCAGCAACACTGTTGTCCCTTGAAAACAAAACTCATTACAGTTAACTTTTTTCATATTCTCTTTGATAACCTTTCACGGCATTTGACACAGCCACATTCTAATGGGTCCAGTGGCAAACTCAGTCCAGTATTTTTAAATAATAATCTAAGTACACACGCGTTAGCGTATTTGGTTGAGGCACTATGCTACAAGCCGGGAGGTCGCGGGTTCAAGTTCCTATGAGGTCATTGGATTTTTTCAATTGACCTAATCCTTCCAGCCACACTTTGGCCCTGGTGATTCTGCTAGAACGCTGTACCGCTGACTGAAGCAGCCAGTCAGAGGACCGCAGAGAGGATGATGAATGTAACCTCGCCTAACGAGGACCCCTCATAACGAGTAATTCGCATAACGCGCAAAACAAATTGTAAAAAGACGACTCGCTTACCGAGCGACGTTTCGCATAACGAGTGACGAGAGGGGAAGTCCCGGATTGTGCGCTTGCTACATCAGTCTGTGTTTAGCACTCGTTCCGCTAGCATCTTAGTGTCGCTTGTGATCACACATTTTTCCAAACTTGTGTTCAGACATTATTTGTGATTTTTTTTTGTGCAAAGTTTAATAACCCTTGCAAAAATATCCCCGAAGAAAAAGCCGCAAAAAGACAGCCATAAGAGAATAAAAATAACCGTGGAAATGAAACGTAAAATCATTTAAAAGCGAGAACGAGGCGTGAGCGTGGCTGATCTAGCGCACACATACAGTCGGTCTACATCAACGATCTGCACGATTTGGAGTTGTATTGTGTTTCACAGCAAGAAGTTGTGGAGGAGAGTTTGTCAGAGGAGGAGGAGGAGGTAACAGCAAAGCAACAACCTTCTGGCTCAATAAGAGAAATGCTGAAAGCTCGGGAAACTGTTACCGTACATTGAAAAGCATCACCCTAGTAAGGCAGTGGGTATGCGCGCTACAAATTTATTTAATGATAATGCTGTGTCGCATTTTCACCAAATTTTGAAGCATCGGCAAAAACAAATGTCTCTAGACAGCTTTCTAGTAAAAAAGAATTAGATATGTATCATAAATAATAAACTAATTATTTCGATTTTTTTTCTGTTTTCTGCAAATCGAATTCGCATTCCAGGTTGGTTCATTCCGCATAGGAGAAAAGGTGAAGATGATTCACGCTCCTTAACAATGTATATATAATTTTCTTTGAATAAACGTTATACATAAATTTTTTTGAGTATTTTTTTGGCATGGAACACATTATCGTATTTTACATTAATTTATATGGGAAAAAATGTTTCGCTTAACGAGTAAGATCCTTCCTTCCATTAGGAAATAATGCTTCTTCATTTTACCCTTATAATGTCCTGCCCATACCAACCTTGGAAATTGACAGCAGTTATGGAATTACTGGAAGAATATGTGTGCCAACTAGTCACATGAGCATCGTTAGATATTCTTTAAGTTGGAGAAATTAACCCTGGTGACAAGCAGTTGCAGTGCAGCAACAGAAACTACTGTGCAGCAAATGATAACATCGTCGTCCACAGTTCGATTACATACAAGAAAACTACTTTGAACTTGAGCTCTATTTTTTCCCCCCCATTTTGCAAACACGTTGCAGTGAATGCTAACATGGTCAAACACAGTTCGATTGCATACAAGAAACTTATTTTGAACTTGAGCTCCATCTCTTCCCCCCTTTGCAAACATGTTTCCTTCCTCTCAGAATATTAGAACTTCACTGGGTCAGAGTTCATTCTGGCCTTTATCTTCAAGTATAATTAAATTTCAATCGAGAATTGTGTTGGAAATTGTTTTCTGACACACATTGGTCTTGTTTATGTGTAGATAAGAATGAAGAGGCATTACTTTACAATTGACTTGCAAAGTTCAGGTTATCCACCTCAGTGTGAAACTCTGAGAAGCAGAACCAGTATCAGGATTGAATGTGGGTAGGGGTATTTCTGAAATTTCTTTACCTATTTCATTTTCGTTACATTATTATTCACTTTTGTTGTTAGAGGTGCATTCCTTCTCTTACTTTTGCCATATACTGCCATCTGTATTGGACTGGTGAACATGAACATAAGATTTTCAATAGTAATTGCATTTCTTGAAGACATATTATTAATTTTTGCTATATAATCGTATCCAATACTGAAATTGAAGACGAATAGATAGCAGATCTTCAGTATTCATTACATTTTCTTGTAAGATATGTTAATTTTGCCATATAAACCTTTCCATTACTGAACTGAAATTAGAATAGGTGCCAGATTTTCAGTATTCATTACTTACTTACTTACTCCTGGAGCTGAGCCCTTCTGGAGGGTGATATTCAATAATTGCATTATTGAAGATACAAACAAATTGCTGAAAAGCTCTTCACCTCACAAATACTTTGCTATACACAGTGGCCGTGCGGTCCAAAGCATGAGCCGTTTTCGCCCGCTTGAACATTGGGATTGTGGGTTCGAATCCCATTTGAGACGTGGATGCTTGTGTGTTTTATTCTCTGTTTGTGTTGTTCCGTGAGTAGGTAGCGGGCTTGCAACGGGCTCATCCCCCGTCCAAGGAGTCCTACGGGCTGTGTATAAATTAAGAAACTGAAAAATCGTCCAACGACCACAAGGGCCGTAGAGCCACAGATAGATAAAACATCATAAATAATTATCCTTTGTACTTACTTAAGTGTAGGCACTACACAAATTTGTTTCCGTCCTCAGGTGAGAGGGTGGAAGATACGTACTCTGTTGGACCAGTTAAAAAGAATGGTCCAGTGACGTGTTAATTATTTCTTATGGCCTTGCTTGCGTCCTGCTGTGTATTACTTACTTACTTACTTACTCATGGAGCTGAGCCCTTCTGGAGGAGCCGCCAATTCTGCAGCTACTCAAGAATTTCCCAGAATTTTATAGAATCAGAAGGTTCATTACCGTGTTCACAAGAGCCCCCATTTGTCCCTATCCTGAGCCAGATCAATCCAATCCATACCATCCCATCCTATCTCTCTAGGTTCCATTTAATATTGCCAACCCACCTGCGCCTTGGTCTTTCCAGTGGTCTCCTTCCTTCCGCCTTTCCCACCAATATCTTATACTCATTCCTCGTCTCCCCCATTCGTACTACATGACCTGCCCACCTCATCCTCCTTGACTTGATCATTCTAATTATACTTGGAGAAGAGTACAAGTTATGAAGCTCCTCATTATGCAGTTTTCTCCAACCTCCTGTCACTTCATCTCTCTTTGGTCCAAATATTCTCCTCAACGCCCTGTTCTCAAACACCCTCAGTCTATGTTCTTCCCTTAATGTTAGAGACCAAGTTTCACACCCATACAGAACCACAGGTAAAATTATAGTTCTGTATATTCT